TCCGAATTTTTCGGGCAAGGGCATTGAGATTACTCCACTAGCCGTTGGAGCCACCAGAATTGGCCTGGATGAGGTTGGAGGTTGGACCTTCTCAATTGGGATTGGCTTCAGCACGTTTCCTCGAATGTCGAATGTTGGATCGCGACGTTCTGGTGCCTTGATCAAAATCGTTTCCTCTGATCTGTTCCCGTTGCTGATGATGATGTCGTTTCCTGAAGCTAAATATCGATTAATAATGAGAAAATCAAAACAAGGTGTTAATTTCTGGGCTACACGAGTCGGACAAAACATACCAAAGCCACGTGGCATTTCAATCTTCGAAGGGGAGAATCCATCATCAAACGCACGGTCGAAATCATCGTATTCCGGTAGATCAAGCGATAGAGTTCGAATCTTGGACATGGCAGGATTGGTTGGAGCAGCTGACAATGGGGTAAATGTTAACAAACATAAAACGACAAAGACGCAAGATTTTTTTTCTCAATTTTTTTTTCATTTTTGAGAATGATAAATACTAAAAGGTAAATAGTGAATCTAACTTTGCCAACTTTTTTCTGCTATTTTGATCTGGTTTTTAGTACAAACTGAAGACGACTAAAACAGCCAACTTGTTTTTTTTTTCAAACAATAATAAATTCCTACCAGGTGTGTGCGTGCTTCTGCCTCCGTTAGTGAGCAACTCCTTACTAGCGATAACTTGAGCGCCATTGGACATACTAAAAACACAGAGGGTCAGGTGACAAGAGGAAATATGAGGCAAAGGACAAACCTTGACAATGGGACTCCTTTCACAGGATTTTTCAGATACAAATCGTCGATATTCGATGGGTTTCCCCACGATTGACCTCCGAGTGGATCTCCGTGACCGGTGTGGATGAAGGAGCCTGGAGGGGAGGACATGAGGTAAAAGAGACAAGGGGAGATAGGGTGGTTATTTTGAAAAAAGGATAATAAAAGTTACTCACCAGCAACCGGCATGGAAATTCTCGACGTCCGATCGTTGTATGACGTTTTTGTGTTATTATTCAGAGGTTTAGACGCGAATGGAAGAGGTGGAGGCGCTTGAATCACTGGTTCAGGTCTCATTCTGATCGTTGGAGCTGTCGGAACCTTCTGTAAAAAAAATTTACACAATCATTGAGCACTACACACTTGGAATGGGTAAAAAAAACCAACTTGTGGAGTAACAGCGGATGCCGCCGCGACCGCGTGGTTTGTTTGTGCGAACACCACCGATCTCGGAAATGTTCCGAACTGCTGATTCTTTTTGTTTTGTCCAAACCAGTCCTGACCGCTGAAAGAAAAAGAGGAATTTGAAATCAATTGTTTGAGAGCGCTGGGAAAATAGGGAAATGAAAAACTAACGTGTTTTCAACAACCACCACTTCATCTCCTTTGGCTAGAATGAGGGCTCCTGGCTGGATGGAGTTGTACCCTTCTCGAGCAACAGCGTCAAGGAAGAAAGCAGAATTCAGGTCTTCTCGAATTGTTCCAAACTTGCAACGTTCTGGGGAGATATCGCGAAGGATCTTGACGGCAACATCGATCCGCAAGAGAGGGACGTTGGTGCCTGAGCAAGCGGATTAGCTGGTTTCTTCTCCGCAAGACGGGTTTGTACAACTGGTGGTGATGGATTACGAACTGGTTGCGGAGTTGGAACCGGTTGCGATACTGGCTTTGGTGTAGATGCAGCGCTTGGCACTCGAGTTGGTTGCAGAACTTCTGTTGATAGAATCGGCTCGGACGTCTTCTGTCCATTGCTTCTGGCCCAAGTTCTACGCCTAACAACTGCGAATGAGCCTTCTCCGAGTTGTTCGAACAGCTTGATCTGGAAAAAAGCAAAGATTAAAAATTGGGATTTCTGAAGTAAGATTGTTGAGTTGATATGCTCTGAATTTGTCTATAATTTCATAAAATGCTCAATTTTATCTAAAACTGCGTCAAACCCGTCTCAAACGCTGTGAATCTTATCGGATATCCAGAACATAATTTTTTTAGGGAATACTTCATTCGAATTAGCTTTGGATTTTTCTAAAGTTTTTGTGACTTGTTCTCGATGTTTATTTCAGTCCATGAGCTTTCAAAGTCTTAAAATTGTTAGGAAAATTGCTGTCGTACAAAATGTCGAAATGAGTACAAAATGTCCAAAATCTGCCATATTATTATCAGTAAAAATGCTCGATATTGTCATAAACTGTGTCTAACCGGTTCGAAACGTTATGAATCTCATTTGATATTCTGAAGCTAACTTTCAGGTAAATATTCTGCTAAAACAAGCTTTTCCAAATTTTCTGAAGGCGTTGAAAATTGCACTGAAGGTCTAAAGCGTATCCTCGAACTTTAAAAGTCTCAAAATTTGCGAAAACGATTTTCTTAAATCTCAACTCCAGATAATCTTTTGATCAATTTTTCAACCAAAACAATTTACCTGCTCATTGGGTATGAATGCCTTTTCATCAATTGCACTTTGATTTTGTGTTGATTGGTCACCGGCCACGTACACCTGCTTTGGATCGCTTCGATTCCACATTTCTCTTGACATTTTGAGAATTTGTTCACGAAGCTGCCTGATTTGTGGCTGCTGCATTCCGATATCCTTAAAAAAATTAGTTTCACAAAAAAGCCTCTTCACAATCTTCTGCATACCTGCATATCCTTGTCCCGTACATGTGAAAAGTGATCAAATCGTCGAACATTGAAGACAAAAACGAATTTATCCTGGTAGGCTTCGAGCTGGGACTTCCGGAGCACTTCCAGCACGATATCATCGACAAGCACCCCTCCTGTGCTTGCCATTTTTGAGTTCTGCAAAAATATAAAATTCTATAAGCGAAAGTAATCAAGGAGAGTGGTTGGCGAGAAATCAATCATGGACGGAAAGAAAAGCAACACTTTTTGAAAAAAGAGAAAAACGTCGAGAAAAAAGGGTGTTAGTTGGCAAAGAGGACATTTCTGCCGAGTCTGACTGATAACACAAGGGGGGGGGACGATCAAAACTTGGTCTTTTGAGTTTAAACTTATCAATTATCATCGAAAATAGAAAAAACATCAGTTTCACAAGAAATCTAGGAAACATATTCATCTGGTTCGAATATGACTAACTTAGTACACATGTTCATGACGTATGCATCCAAACAAGATCGTCAGAAGCCGAAAACATCAAAATCCATTTTTGTGCAAATTCTGAAAAACCCTTCTCCCATTCCTCTGTCGCAATTTCAGATAGTTCGAAGACGTCATTCCAGTCCTTATCTTCTCGAATTTCAAGTCAATGTTGATTTCACGTTCAATTGCACATACCCAAAAGAAAGAGAACGAGTTCTTTTTTTTTTGTACCGCTTTCAATGCATTTTGAAGTGATATCCTTTTATTTTCTCCTCTTCTCTTCCTCGCCTGGCCTCCAATTGCCCGCGGTATGTCCGGGGTATCAGGTTCCTGTGATAAAATCGAAGAAAATCAACAAGAAATGTAACAAAATCGGTTTATTATGAACAAGTTAGAAAGAAACAACAAATACAAGCTTAGAATTCAAGCAAGCTCACTTGAAATCCTTAAAGCTCACTTGGAATACTCCCTCAAAACTAAATTTAAACAGTGCGCGCGCCGAGCGGGATAGCGGTGTGTCGTTGCGTGGTTAGAGGGAACCTTTAGAAGGGGTTGGAGGGTAGCTGCCCCAGGCAACTCTCCAATTAGTTACTCAAAACGTCCCTAATGACTTCCTGACCGCAAAAGCTTATAATGGACCCGTATTTCCTTTTGCCCTACCTATTGCGCGCGCACAATGGTCCGTTAGCCTTCTCTGCCTCTCTCACTCTCTCTCTCCCCCATCCACCTTGCCCCGTTCATTAGTGTGTTCGCCCCACACAGTGGCCCGCTCGTCCTTGCATGGTCCGTTTGCCCTCTTCTCACTGTTTGCGCCTCCCCCTTCAGCACACTCTCTACTCTTCTTCCTTTAATATTGGTCCGCTTGCCAGTTTCCATTATTTATGCGATTTTTTGTTCAGTTTTGATGTTTATTCAAGTGCGCATCCGATTTCGATTGTCTTCTTTTGATCCTGGCTTCAGTTTTTCTTCCTTTCTCACTTGACACACATAGCTTGCGTAAGGTTTTATTTTTTCCGTTGTATTATGCGAAAAAAGACAATGAAAAGACGCGTAAGGTTGACCGATGAGTGAAATATTGAAAATTTTGATGTTTTCGGCTTCTGACGTTCTTGTTTGGTGTTGAGCCAGGGCTGACAACTCAATTTGCTCAAGATTTCTAGTTGAAAACGTTCGTTTTGCACGATTTTTTTTCTCTAGTCTGTTTCGGATTACCACGAGTATCTTTTTCGGGGAATTGTCTTCCGATTGGGCTCTGACTGACTTTTGGTGATGTCTTCCGTAATTGTGTGTTTTCACTCAGATTTTTGAGCGTCACTCTATCAGAATCACGCTGTCTAATTGCATTTTTATGAATTCTTGATGGGAGAGCTCTAGAAACGAGAATTTATATAACTTGGAGCATTTTCAAATTTTCTCAAGGAATTCAAAGTTTCAAATCAGTTGTTTGATTTTGGAAAACAGGACTGGAAATCCAAAAATTTCAATGTTCTCTGGTTCGCGTTGTTTGGAAAATTGTCTTCCAACTAGGCTAGAGCTCAGTTTTGGTAGGTAGATGTTTCCGTAAATTGAAGTTTCTAATCAATATTTCCAGCGTCACTAGATCAGACTCATGCTGCTCAACTGAATATTCATGACTGGAAATCTTGAAACATTCGTCGAAACTAGTTGAGAACCAGGAGCTCAAAATTTTCAAATTAATAGATTTTGAAAATAGGACTAGAGATCCTTAAATTCAAAAATAAATGTTCCTTTAGAAATGTTTTCTTCTTCCCTATGGCTTTCTAATCAGTCTCGCCGAAAAAAAAAACCAAATCAGTTGGTCCTTCCTCATTTTAAAATTTATTTTTGCCGAGTTTTCCTCTTTCTAATCAGTCTCACCAAGCAGAAACGGGTTACAAAGCCCCACGGCATTTTTGTTTACATTCAAATTTCGAAACATGGTTTATAGCCCAAGAATGACTCTCCGTCTTTTAAATGTCTCTGATTCATAGTTCCAGTTGAGTGAGAAGCGCGCTGAGAAGAAATAAAAAAAAACCGTTGCTTGTCTAGAAGTTTCTTTTTTTCATTTGTAACACATCTTCGTCGTCTTAATGCTATTTAAATTGAATGAAAAGAAGGAAGAGATGAGAAGACGACGTCTTCGTTTTCCTCTTCGTCTTCTTAAGTTTCCACCCATCAAAAAACCAGATCCAATTGGCTGGCAACATACTAGAAGAATTCTCTCCTGGGTGTCTGTACACACACATGCAATAAGAACACCCTTCTCTTCCACAAAGTTACCTCAGCACTCGTTTTCCTCACCATCCTCCCTGCTTCTCATCTATTCCATCTATATCTTTTCCTCTCTCTCTTTCTCAACTCCCAGCCTCTGGAGAGTTCTTGTAGGTTTTTCTCTTTCCACCATCCAGTCTTTCACGTTACTTGTGTCTGCGTCTCGCTACAAAATACTCTGCGTGTTTTACTATTTCATCAACCACGGTCGAATGTCAACATTCTCCAGTCAGCCGGCAGTCTCTAGTTTTCCGTCTCCTCGACTCACTACATTTTGTTCTGCGTCTCGACCTTTTTTTTCTATTTTTTTTTTTTTTTGAAAAGAAATTTTATGTAATAATAATCTTTGTCATGCCGTTGTTATAAACAAAACAATAGTTCCTGATCGGATTAGAAATTGAAAATGAAAACGTTTCGTTTTCCTTTGTTGGGAAACCTTTTTGTTGGAGAAATGTTTCAAATTTGTAGCATAAATGTGTCAAACTGTTTGCCAATGTCTTCTCGTTCACCAAAGAACACGAAAAAGTTGTACTTTTGTAGTCTGAGATGGCGCACAAACTCACACTTTTGCACAATCCCTCTTGTAAATCTAATTTGGGAAATTCAGATTTTCCCTCAGTCCGTTTCATTTGAGAGGATTCTTCTCGCGGTAGAAATAAATTTGAGAAAATCGTGTATTTTCAAAACAACATTTCGATTCTCTGACTATATTTATGGCCTTATCAGAATTGGTTTGAGTCAACTCATATGCTCATAATGCGTCATGCATACGTCATGAACATGTGTACTAAGTTAGTCATATTCGAACCAGATGAATATGTTTCCTAGATTTCTTGTGAAACTGATGTTTTTTCTATTTTCGATGATAATTGATAAGTTTAAACTCAAAAGACCAAGTTTTGATCGTCCCCCCCCCCCCCTTGTGTTATCAGTCAGACTCGGCAGAAATGTCCTCTTTGCCAACTAACACCCTTTTTTCTCGACGTTTTTCTCTTTTTTCAAAAAGTGTTGCTTTTCTTTCCGTCCATGATTGATTTCTCGCCAACCACTCTCCTTGATTACTTTCGCTTATAGAATTTTATATTTTTGCAGAACTCAAAAATGGCAAGCACAGGAGGGGTGCTTGTCGATGATATCGTGCTGGAAGTGCTCCGGAAGTCCCAGCTCGAAGCCTACCAGGATAAATTCGTTTTTGTCTTCAATGTTCGACGATTTGATCACTTTTCACATGTACGGGACAAGGATATGCAGGTATGCAGAAGATTGTGAAGAGGCTTTTTTGTGAAACTAATTTTTTTAAGGATATCGGAATGCAGCAGCCACAAATCAGGCAGCTTCGTGAACAAATTCTCAAAATGTCAAGAGAAATGTGGAATCGAAGCGATCCAAAGCAGGTGTACGTGGCCGGTGACCAATCAACACAAAATCAAAGTGCAATTGATGAAAAGGCATTC